CATAGAAACATAAACTTAGTCTCACATACTATTCCATTAGGCTGATACGAGAAGATTTAATGTGGTTGTCTCAAATTATCTCTAGAAAGAAACTTAGGCGACATCGACAGGCCGACTCACACCATATTGATGGCAAGTGTACCTGATGTGCGCTAGAATATCATAAATCATACATGAATCGAAAGGAAACACTCAACACAGGGGTATCATAACAATCTTCAGGCTGCAGAAACAGAAAAAGTACCACCCGCACGCTCGATGAGACTGGTGCTCGACGTATCATTCCTGATAACCGTCGATGAGATGTAGAAAGTTAAAGTTCGAAAGTAAACGCACGAATATGCAAAATCGCTGCAGTAACGAGATAGAAAGAAAGATCACCAAGCCTCCTCAACTTCAAGTAGCCACTTGCGAATACCTTCTCTCAGGGTATTGTCCGCCCCTGCCAATGAACGTCTTCGCTCTCTGTCGGCAATGCCTATTTCCCCGTCAACGTCCTCGCGGCAATGTTCGGCTGTCACGCTGCGGACCACTTCTTCGAGAGCACCAAGCACCATCTTGCGGCACTCTGCACGGGGAACCTCAATGGAAGGAACCTCGTCCCGAGCGACAGTATCAGAAGTGCTTTTATCTTCGCCCCTCCGACCACGCGACGGCGACTGGGCTCTTGAGTGTGCCAACGATGACTGACCACTCTGTGCGAGAACACGCTCGAGCGCATCAACAAGTGTGCCATCCAAATCCATGACAGGCTCCTCAACGAATCGCTCTTCGTATTCAGGGGCATCAAAGGCTTCGGCCACCCAGTTTGCAGATGTCCTGCTAGAAGCGGACGCGTTGGAGAAAAAGCTTGTAAGCTGTGACGCAGATGTGGGATGACCGAAAATATGGCGGGGAGTTCCCGGTTGAGAGGCAGCTCCAGGTGTAGATGGACTCCTGCAAGAGCCATTCCCGACGACTTTCCGCCTCAGACGTAGCCGCTTGACTGTGAAGTTTCTGGTATCTGCAATCAACGTTGTTGCGACATCCACCCATTTGCATTGTCCTTCAGGTTCAAAGGAAAAAGCGGAACTAGGAGTAGGTTCAGCTTGCATTGCGCGCTTGATGTCGGCTTCTACGCCGGCATAAGGTCGCACGCCCTGAAGCAAGAAGTCGTCGTGGAAATTCTTCAGCCAACCAGCAACATTCACGCTGGGTCCGTCGTTGTCCTTGGGGCCGCCACAGTGAAATCCGGAATTGCTGCTGTGTGTGGACGCTAGAGCATCAACACTGGTGACCGATGTCCGCGTCTTCTTGGGGGACGCTATGGTCGAATCGCCTGACGACGAAAGGGAAAGGAACCCGGGAAGCGGAAGTTCCACGTCCACAATCCCGTCGTCTCCCCGCACGGACAGCTTCAAGGAAGATTCTCTGTTCTGCTCCGGCACCGATGACGGCTCTGGAGTATTTTCTTCCGGCCCTTGCTGACTGGAGAATCGAGGAATCGAGATAGTACCACTCGTGGTAGTCTCCGAGACGTCCCCGGGTGTCTCGCCTGAAACTTCTTTCACCATCTGACTCAGAGTTGGAGGGCTTCGCTTAGAAGGGCCGACATAAGCAGACACGGAACGCTTTCGAGCTTCAGCAACTGGGACGGTGTCACTGCCTTCGGCTGTGGACGACTCCTGGCGCGAGTTCCACAGACCGGAGAACAGATTTCCCCATCGGCCACCATTGGAAGGGACACTGCTGGTAGCACTGATGGCTGAACTGTCACCTCTTTGCAAGTTCCGTAGCAGGTTTTCCGACGCCAGACTGTCATTGATGCCCGGCGCAGTTGGATCTGGATCCTCTCGGTCACGCCGACTCTGCCGCGACGCAAAATGGGGAACAGGGACAGCGCTGCTGGGAGTGGCCGTGGAGGTGGTCGCTACACAGGTGTTTTTGTTCCGCGGGTCTCTTGCATGCATGGGAACACCCAATGTTCGAATAGAGCGAGCATCAGAGCCTCTGCGATGCGGACCAAGCTCAGGAAGCGATGTGTCAACGTCGTCCGCCGATCGATGCGCTGTCTCACTAGAAGAGACACTAACGGACCGCTGATGATTGTCACTTTCAGCCAGGCGCTGCGCACGTGATCGCCGCTCAATGGCCCTGCGCAAGGGTTCCTGTCTCAGGACGGGCACGGTCGGTGGGCTCTGCGAAACGGCACGTGCCGACGCCGACGTGCCTGGACGAAGCGGTGACGGAAGTGGCTCAAAGCGTTGCTTGGCCGGAAGGAAAGCCGATAGTAAGAATATAAGCCTCCGGGCCGTCATTTTGTCAGGCGAAATGATAACAGTTCTGTGAGCTAGGACCGGGTCTGCGTCCTGTTGGGCCTTTTGCTGGAGATAGTGCCGCCGGCGGTACCAGTCGGGGCCCAGTGTACTCAGCCATTCTGTATGGTTTCCCAAGAATGCGGTGATCAGAACCAAGAAGAAGAAGCTATGCTCTTTATCCCCAAGATTGCGCACGATTGAGCGTCCCTCTTCACGCCAAACACCCCAGCGGCTTTGGCCCGTCACGACATGCGGAGTCTGAAGAGCAATGCTAATACGACGGGCGCTGCGGAAAGCCTCATCCTTCAACTTCGAATTCACAGCCAGTATGTTCGCCGGCAGATGCACAATCGTCTGATTTGTACGTTGCATGTTTGGAGGCTTTGCGGGCTTCGGATTCGCTCCCAACGAGTCCACTTTCTTCAAGAGAAACAAGATTTCCTTTCGAGAAAGTCGCTCCAAATGTGACAGAGTGCGGTTGATCACGTCCCAGTGATCTACCAACAGGTCAATCCGCTCGTCCAAGCTTGCCGGTGGAGATGCGAGCGACAGGCTATCATCCAGAAAGCCGCCGCGCCAGCGATGATCCGAGTCCAGTGAGCACGACATCCCCACCTTGGGTGAGTCAGTACCTTGCGTATTGAAGCGCGAACCGGGCCGTCCCGAATTACGGGAGAGAAGCGGAATTTGAATCGTGATCGCCACCGCATACATCGGAGTTTTCTTCTCCTTTATCTTTTTACGCTTGCTAACATCGGGAAAGGGGAAGCCGTTCTCCGGTAGTGACTCTTGGTACATGGAAGTCGGGTGGTCGGGCCGATCAGACGTGTCACCTGCCTCGGGCAAGTTGACACCGAACATCCGCGTCAGTAGAATGGTGACCTTGGATGGTGGCTTGGCTTCAGAGCCCCGAGATGTACTCATGAAATCAGAGGAACTTCCCGTAGTATATGCCCGTGAAAGCGAGTTGCGGGTTGCGGGTGATGCGCTTGAAGTTCGACCCGAATCCTCATCCGCAGAAATGATATGCATCTTGGTCGAAGAGCCGCGATAGCTAAACGCACTGCTGCCGAATATGCAGTTCAACAGGCCAGAGTCACTGTTCTCGGCCGGGTGACGTGAGCGACCTGCCTCATTCATCCCACCTGCAGGCGACAATGTAGAGCTGCGGCCTCGAGCGCGAACAAAAGCACCGGAACCCATGGGCGGCGATCTGCGGGCTTCCGCGGCGACAGAAAGTGGGCTCGAATCGGCGGCCGACGAAGGAGGGAGGTACCCGCGCCGAGGTACCCGCGAGAGACTGGAGAGTGTGCGAACATGTCTCGTACCAGAATTGTCGAGCACGTACGGTTCTGAATCGAGAGGGCTTGACGTCACGTCGGACGAGTTCGTGCGAGTATCTAACAACACACACGCATCCCTGTCTCCAAGCGCGTTCTGTGCAATTATCACCCGGAAGTCCTTGACTGGATCTAGTTCCACGCCACCTCGATCATCGTAGGCACCGGCAGCATAAGCATTCGGTGAATTGAATGTGCTATGTAACGGATAGGCATGGGTATTTGACCGTCGTAGCAGGCTCGCGTCGGGGAAAAGAAGGCCAGATGTGTGTTCTTCTTCCGTCACGGATTCCAGCTGGGTAGCGTTCCTATTCGAGTACGCGGCTGGGTTCAATGTTGACGCCGCACTGCTCAACAGGCGGCCTAACATAATGATTCAGCTAGTGACGAGTGGTCAGGTATGCAAGGGTTAGAAAAGTAATGGCTGTACAACGCCAGGCTCTGATGTTCACAGCACAGAACAAGCCACGGGAATGAGTCGACGTGAGATTGAATATAACAGGTAACCAACAGCCAGACTGATAACCTAGACTGAGCTGCCGTTCCCCAATGTCCAATCCTAGCGATGAAGAACCATGATCAACCCAGGTTGATCGAGGGGCAATTGTGTTCCTTCAGAATCGACCAGAAAGGAAAGACAGCACCCGAACAGTTTATCGTGCGGGGGAGGTTCACTTCTGGCAATCGAGAGATCGCGCACACAGAAGAACTGACCAGGAATGAGAAAGGAACAATCTCATCACCAAGAAAGACAAAGAATCAACAGGAAGGGGAAGATGATGAATTGAGTACGGAGAGGCAAAGACCGGGGGCGGGGAGAGTGAGTGAGAGTACGGAGCAGGAGGATGAAAGGGCGGTGAGCAATGAAATCCGTCCACCACCACACAGATCAAGAGAATGAGTGAGATCCTCCGTATTATTCACACATGATCTCAGCCTCATCTCATTCTGATGCCGATCGCATGCAGCTCATTGGCAGCTTGCATACTTCCCGTCTGTCAGATATACCAGGGTGGACATAGACATACATATCTAGTAATGATGCTGCAGGCGGGGTAGGACGAACACCTCATCCTGCATGGGCCAGGTTACTCGTTCGAGTCATCGGCAGCGAATAGGGCTATAGGAGATTACAGGCAGCAGAGAATGCGCTGAATATCTCATATTACTGTGGAAGTTTTCCCCGGGGAATGACTGCCGTATAGGATGTACGATAGTATGTCAACTCAAAGATGGACAATGCTTTTATTACACCTGCAAAGATGCTGTACAATACCGTGGTATATATCCTGAATATCCTGAATCCCAGTATGCTTTTGTCTTGTCCGCTAGAGAAATCAAACGAAGGTGAGTACAGTCAGACTCAAGTCTGTTGCGTCTTGCGCTTCACTTTGTCGACCAACTTCTTCAAATCATCCGAGCCAGCGTTGCCTGCAGCGCTCTGCTTCTGCTTTTTCTTCTTCCTATCACGCGAGCTGGCGTCGGCTTCTTCTTCCCCTCGGTCGTCCCGATCCCTCCGTCGCTTGCGTCCTTCATCCAGCAGTGCCTTCATGCCCGGTGTGGGCTTGAATTTCGGGTTGGTAGGATCGATGGCATATTCGTGACTCTCGAACAGCCTTGCAAAACGAGGATCGCTGACGTCCATCTGGAAATTGTCATTGACTGTTTGAGCCTGCTCCTTTGCCTTCTTCTTGTTCTTCTTGCGGGCTTGTTTCTGTGCCTTCTCGATCTCATTCATATCAAAGTGTTTGATTCCTGATTTGTTGTCGTCCAGCATCAGGAGCTCCAGTTCGGCCCGCTTAGCCGCATTCGCCGCCTCCTCGGCCTCGCGTTCAGCGCGCTTCTTACGCTTCTCCTCCTTGCGACGAGCGGCAGCAGTGGCCTTGCCATCCGGATCGTCAAAGAACGGATCGTTGAAGCCCAAGTCTTCCTGCGGAGCTTGTCCTTCGCCTGTAGACTCTGCGTCGTCCTCGCTGGTCTCGGCCTTCGCCTCCCCTTCAGTTTCCCCGCGCTTCATGGCCTTGAGCTTCTCCTTTCTCCGCTTCTTGCGCTCACGCTCTTTCCGTACATACTTCTCGATCGTAGTCTCCTCTTTCTCGGGCTCGTTCTCGAAGACGGTGTCGCGGTTGGGCTCCCCAGCCAAGCCCGAGGTGAAGGTCACCTCCATTTCGCCAACAGGACCAGATGATTTGGAGGACTTGAGAGGCTCTGTACTTAAGCCCAGGAGAGCCCGCTGGCGCTGGCGTTCTTCCTCTTTCTTGGAGATCTTTGTACTAGACCCGTCTCCCTTTGTAGTATCAACAACTTCCACCGCCTCTTCTTCTGCCTCATCATCAGAACTGTCACTGGCAAGATAGGCCTTCAGATCGTTCTCGTCAATATCCTTGCGACTGCCTCTGAACGCTCGGGCTTGAGCTTCCTTACGCGACCTGTCTTCCGCGTCCCATGTAAGCTTGACCTTGCTGTGCTGCAGCGCATCAGTCACGAACTCATTCGGCTGATATCCGTCTGGAATCCGTTCACATTCGTCGCGCGGCTTGTCGTCGGAGAAGTCCGTATCGTCCGGTACGAATCGAAGGTCAAAGAAGTTGGCACTAGATAGATACTCGGCTCCGTCCACGGAGTCATAGACATGTTTCGCAACATCCTTGCTCGAGAATGTCAGGATGGCGTAGAAGTACCGCAGTCGTTCCAGTTGATACTTTCGTAACTGGGTAGAATTGAACTCCTCGCCCTGATCTTCCTTCAATATCGACTGCTTGATCTTCTCCTCCTCTTCTTCCGAATCAAGATCCTCTTCGTTCTCCTCATCGTCTTCCTCCTCGCGCTTGCTCGTCGCGAAAATCTCCCGAGGAGGACCCTCCGTTTCCTCCCTCTCCATACGTTCCTTGCCAAACTCGCTCGGGTACACAGAGACCTTCAACACCCGGCCGCCCGTCGGAACAAAGCTGGAAAACACAGCCATTAGATCCTCCGCCCGGATATTGTCCCAGTCCAGGTTGACCACCGCAATGCGATTCGTGACTTCTCCCGTCGGCACATCCACCTGCTGTTTATCGGGAAACTCCAGCTCTTCAATACTCTGCTCCTCCTCCTCGTCCTCTTCTTCACTTTCTTCCTCACTCGAGCTCTCCTCTTCCGAGGACGAGGATGAGAATCCTCCGTCCCGAGCAGGATCATACGCCTTATCTACCCGTTTCAACTCCTTGCGAACCTCGTCATCGTCATCAGCGACCATTCCGTCTTCCTCCTCATCCTCATCTTCATCCTCGTCCTCGGCCCCCTCCAACTGGTAAAATCTCTCCAACTGCTTCTTCGTGTCATCGCGTGCAAGCTTCCGTCCATAGCGATCAACAGCGGCATTCCGGGAGAAATCCTTGTCGCGCAGCATGTGCGCAAAACGCTTGTCGAGCTTCACATGGGTCTGGCGCTTGCTGGGAAGACGATATCGCGGATCGGACTGGATATTAGCAAATCTGGGATCGGCTAGAAGGAAACAGTCAAGAGTTAGCATTTATCACGACAGCCTGGCGATCACGACCGCAGAAAGTTGATCGTACTGATAACAGTCCCGGCCTGCTTGTCGGCCTTGCCGCTCTTTTTGGATTTCTTTGAGTCCGGCATCGTGGATGTTCCACGGAAAGAGATTTTAAAGAATTGACTCTAGTGAGGATGCGACCGTGCGAATGTGAGACTTGAAACGTTGTTTGGAATCTCTAGCACCTTTTGAGGCGCCTTTTCTATGAGACTTGGTTGATAAGGATAATTTTCTTTTGGCGGTTGAACCAAAGAATCTGCGCCGGTTTCTGCGTTGGTCCGTGCGTTCCTACAGCGAGATTGTTCTACATACATATGGCTCATGCTTTATGCTTCCGTATCTTAATTGCCAATCATACTTCATATACTGCGTAAATGGGTATGTACATTACTCGCTTGGTTATCGCCTGCGATGATAGACCAAAGTATATGCAATCCTTCCCCGGCACCGACACTTTCAATGTACAACCCTCTGGTCCAACAAGTTTCCGTCAAGAGTCTAACATCCGAAATACCTCTTCTCCAACCATCGCGGTTCTCGCTCCTCCTCGACCCTCCCTACAATGACCCTGACCTCAGGGTAAACGGTGCTGAGCCGCTTAAGTCCAACCTTTCCAGCAGCGCAGGTCACAAAAACAATTCTGTCTTCCGCGACTCCGTGATCGACTAAGACCCGGACCGCCATCAGGGCAGCTCCTCCACTAGCCATTTGAGGATCAAGGAGCATGACCGTTGCGTGCTCTTCAATGCCTGACGGCAGTTTCAAGTAATGCAGCTCTGGCTCCTCGTTCCGCTCGTTCGTCTGAATGAGCAGTCGACCAGTAATACAATCAGGAATGGTTCGCTTGAGAGCTGTCTCAAGACAAGAACCACCTCGCAAAATTGCTACAGCGGACACTAGGCCTTCCGGATGCAATCCGTTATAATCATCCCCTTGAGGGGTCTCGACCTTCGCCGGGTGATACCGAGTGCAGTCCATGGCCCTGTTACGCCACGTTATGGTCAGTCACGAACTTGAACTTTTCAGACGCTGTCACATGAGGGCCAACGCACTTCTCTATTAGTAGACAAGCGAGTCGGTCAAAATAGAACACAAAGTCGACCTGTTCCGTCGCAGGGTCCTGTAATATTGTGTTCATGCTGACGAATTGCGGGGTCTGAGGCATGAGGAACACATTCGGAGACAGTTGTTCTTCCGAAGCAATCATCTCCAGCTTCTGTAACTCTGCGCTGTGCCTTTCAGATTTCTCCTGAAGTTTGCGCTGGATATGTTTCACAACCATATCTGGGAGCTATTCAGCAAGGGCATGCAAACTGAAGCTCAACATATTCACTTACCGATGGCCGTTTTGTTCTCGATTCCACGGGGGATGATAATATCTACTTCCGTCAGACAAGCAGACCGGGAGGGAACTTTGTGCTAGCTTACCCGAAACCGACCGTTGAGGTTCGACGTATTGCTTATACGATGGCTTGACAAATTGGAACCATTGCTTAATGATACCCTCAATGTCTCTGCCTCTCTCCCGAACATCACGCAATACTGGCGCCGCCTCGGTTAGGATAGTTAATCATGTTTGGCGTGATTCTCACTCACTTCTGCGTCCAAGGCAAACGTCCATATCTGCCTCAACAAAAATCTGGAATGATCTGATAAGTATCTTGAGGTAGTAAGGGCGTGAAAGTAGAATTACCTTGACATCCAACATCTCCATGATTCTCGGATCATGGAGTGCCAGAATTCCCTCCAAGATCAAAACATGCGGCGAGTAAAGAGTGGTCGTCTGAGGTTGGCGCTGATGTTGAGCAAAAGAATAGACAGGTATATTTGCTTTCTTTCTTTTTTGGTTGACACATTTGCCGTTAGCTGCGTGCAATTCCGGAGACGCTGATAGTTACGAAGGAGCAAGGAGCGAAATTACCCTTGCTTGAGATCTCTTAACGTCTGTACTAATGCATCGAAGTCGATTGCATCCGGACAGTCGAAATCGAATTCATTTGCATGTGCTTTGACATGTTGCTCTGGAGTCAAACTCTTATAGAACGAGTCCTGTACCAGAAAGGGTTAGAAGTCACGATGATGCACAAAAATGGCTATATCTATGCAAGTGATGTTTGAATGGGTCCTTAGTACCATAACAAGAATCACAACCCATGGCAGGTTCAAGGATTTAACAATCTCCATCGCCACAGACGTCTTGCCAGACCCCGAACTGCCTGCAATCCCAATAATACTCAAATCCGCCCATGGTGGAGAGTAGTATCTCTTCTCCGTGGCCGACGAGTAAACGGGAGAGATAGACTCCATGTTGCTACTTCTTCCAGTAAAAGCTCCCTGGCTTGAGTAATGAGATTGAGCAACAGATTCCTGACCTTCCACACATATCATCCAGAAAGAAAATATATGACGGCCAGGTCAGGAATCGCCAGTGCTAAAAAGCTCCTGGGCCGATAAGAACTGCAGATAATAATTATCAGGCAGGGAACCCTTTAGTGATGGCGCTTAGACCGACTGGGCTTAGCCTGGGCCCGTGACTTTTCGCTTACGGTTTAGTCTTAGTCCTAGAGCTCTAAGCGTGACCCAAAAACCTGCCGCTTTTCTTGCCGGCTTTTCTTCTTCTTCTTCCTCTTCACTTCTCTCTTCCCCTTCAGAGATTTTCTCTCCATGGCTTCCGTCTGCGAGGTTTTCCATCTTCACAGACAGCCGGAGCAGTTCCAAGGCACTTGATTCCTGCATCAAGGTCCACGCCACAATATCCCACAATGTCTTCAGCTAATTACGTATGCTCTCCCACGGGTTGTGCGCGCGTAATAGCTTGATTTTAACGGGATGCAGATGTCTCCCACTTCCTCGACAACGACGCCAACATGGCATCAGTTCGAGCGAAAGGTCGATGAGGTCAAACCCTCCAAAACGTGAGTTGCCTATTTTATTGCCTTCCGTTTCCTGAACACCGTTTTATGATGATCATGAAATCAAGTTGGGAATCTCTCTGAAACATCTTGAGGAGAATATGTTAACTTGTGTTTCTGAATCGGTCCTCACTTTACTTTGCTCTTGACGTTGAGTCGCCTGCAATTGCTGACAATCAGCTCAGTGATATCAACTATCTAGTGATGGATTACCTCATTACCAATGGCTACCCAGCTGCTGCAAAGAAATTTGCAGTTGAGGCCAACATACAACCCAGGGCGGACATTGAGTCCATCCAGGAAAGAGTAGAGATTCGCACTGCGATTCATTCTGGCAACATTCAAGCTGCAATCGAGAAGATCAATGATCTCAATCCACAGGTATGAAGATTTTTCTTTTTAAACTTCTTGCCCCACCGCCATCCATCCTTTGCTAGGATTATATCGGTTTACATGCACCACTCATAAATCCCCTTATGGGTTTTGATGAAAAACAAACATCTTCAGTCCTCAGTATGATTAGCAAACTGTTCAACTGCCATGTCAACATCGTCATACACTTAGAGTGAATATGCCATGCTGACTTCATCTGTATAGATTTTGGATGAAAATCCGTCTCTGCATTTCTCATTGCTTCGCTTGCAGCTTGTGGAATTGATCCGTACGTGCATGTCAACGCCCAATGGTGACATCAGTCCTGCCCTCGAGTTTGCGACCTCACAGCTCGCTCCGCGGGCACCCACCAACCCTCAGTTTCTCGAGGACCTTGAACGCACCCTTGCTCTTTTGATCTTTCCTACTGAGAACCTGGCGCCATCCCTTGCGCCATTGTTGCATCCTGACCTACGTAAAGATATTGCTACCAGGGTAAATGAAGCTATCCTGCAAAGCCAGGGTGCCCGTAAAGAAGCTCGGCTGCGCAATCTGGTTAAGTTGCGCGCCTGGGCGGAACAGAAGGCCCGAGAAGCCAAGAAGGATCTTCCTGAGAAGCTCGACCTCGGACTCCATGATGACAGCAACGTAAAGAACGCTCAGAGTGCCAGTCAGAATGGCGCTTCGAATGATACTGTAATGGCCAACAATGGAGATGTTGACCCGATGATTTCATGATCAGCGATGTTGCATTGCTTTTGCTTGATGCTCTCTGCCGCTTTTCCAGTTTAGCGAGGAGTTCGGGCTTGATTGTTTCATCAGTGGCCGCTTAGCGCTCAACCATAGTACTTTCCTTCTCATAAGGGAGGCAATTGAATACAATTGAAGAATCAATCATTGATTGTTGTAAATATATCCAAACAGCAGCCTTTCTCTGTTCTTCTATTCGCGTATGAAATTATCTTGGCCATTCTATAGCAGCCCATGCACATGTTAACTCACGTCGCTGACCCGTTGCAGCGCCCAAGGTAATCAGAACACAAGACCAATGCTTGGCCAGTAGCAAACATTCTAGTCCTTATGAGTAGGTACTGATCAATCAAATTGACTGCATCATCTATATTTGTCAGGAGAATACTATCAAACACAATTTATCAGCATTGACGGAAAGGGTGCTGTCATGGATATATATATTCTAAGAAACACCAAGCACGAGTTCTATCACTAATACCAAACCAAGTAGTTACATCCTCAACCAATTTCAACGAGAGTGAGCCCTAGTTAAATAGTATAATATGCACAAAGCGATATGAAGAAATTGGGTATAGATCTCTTTTATCGATCTAACAGCAAGCACGAGCATGAATGGATAGAGTGGTATGTCCTTTAACTGTGGATTGCCAGGGCAGGCTGCCTATATCCAGAAGGTTCCGATCAGAAGCTCATAAGGTCTATCGAAAGCCGAAAGGTTAGTTGTTGATTCACGAGAAAGAAGAACAGATGCGAGGGGGAACAGACCTCGTCCAAAGAGTGCTCTCTTGGCCCAGTCCATGGCGAGCATGATCCGTGTGCGGAAGCTGACGCTCTCCGCAAAGTAGACGCTTCGCCAGAGGTACATGGCCAGAACGCCGCCGCTGAAATTGAGTCCGCCGAAGTCAAAGACGGCCGCGTTGCTGATGTACGCCAGGCTGCCGAGATGCTTGTACTTGAAGGGTTTGTAGATGATGTCGTCCACATCGCCGTGTTCGATCTCGTTGGCTCGCATGCCGGGGAGCGCGGCTGCGATTTTGTTGAGTTTGCGG